AGAGAGAGAGAGAGAGAGAGAGAGAGAAGAGAGAGAGAGAGAGAGAGAGAGAGAGAGAGAGATATTAATTCACACAATGGTAGACACTGCCAATAACCAGCTGTGGGTGCCTGCTGTGTGGGCTGGGTGGGTGCATTTTCATAAGTGTGGAGTAACAAGGGATCTTAAAACTTGGCAATCTTAAAATGCCTTATCCTGTTTCCTCCCCAGTATAGAAATCTAGCTGCAATTTTCCTGGTCAGAGCCCATCCAATTCCTGTTTGAATCACTCCAGCGACAAGGAGCTCACCACTAACAGGGCAACATCACCCACTGCAAACGGGCAGCCCTCGGTGTGACAGAATTTTGAAGCTGAGCTGAAATGTACCTCCCATTGCCTTCCCATCCATCTTAATTCTGGGAGTTGATGCAAGCGTTATAAGCACTGTCTCTAGGATAACACTACAAATGTTTGAAGAGAGCCACCATGTCCCCCACCACCAGATCGCTTTTCTTGACCCAATATCTTCATTTTCTCATATGAAACAGTTTCCAGACCTATCCCCATCCTGCTGGTCCCTCCTCTGGGTGAGCTAGTTAAGAGATGGCCCCAGAACTGAACCGTGCACTCATTTCTTGGTCCAAAATGCAAAGACTTTAGGGAAATAACTCTTCTTTTACGTATGGGTTTATAGTCACATTTTTTAGCTGCCATATCATCCCTGTGGCTTATACTGAGCTGTTAGTCAACCAACCCAACCCCTTTCAGGGATATTTGAAATATAATGAATACTTTTCAGTCACTTGCCATAGCTTTTGCTCTGTGGCTGATCGCCCTCCCTGCCCTCTGCCCTCCCTTAACCTTGATATAGGACCTTCTATTCATCCCTAATATGTTTTAGGGCCTATTATTTCAACCTACTGAGGTTTATCTGCACCTCATTCCATAATGTTCTATTTCCACAACCCTTCATGGTTTTCTGTCTAAAATGAATTTGATCAGTACTCATTTTACCCTCCATGTAAATTTCTGATACATGATGGAGAGGCAGGAGAGGAGCCCTGGGAGGCATCATAGAGCCCATCCACTGTGTTCACACTGGGAGGCATCATAGAGCCCATCCACTGTGTTCACACTGGGAGGCATCATAGAGCCCATCCACTGTGTTCACACTGACCACTCAGCAGCTGTCCTGGGTGCCATTAGTCAGCACACCGTGTCTCCACCCACTGGCACGCCCAGCCAACCTCTATCTCGTCCTCTCGTCCACAACATTAATAAGAGACATTTCTTTAAGCCAAGGGAAGTGACTCCGTGACTTCAGCTCCTGCCAGGCTATTACATGAGGTATTTCAGAGAAGCTTCCCAGCAGCTCACAGAAATCCCGTTAGGTGGTCTGGGCGGCTCCCTGCCCATCGGGCCAGCTCTGCCAGGAAGCACAGGCTTTAGCCACGAAATCCTGGAGGGAAGAATTCTCTGGCAACTCTCAAAGGCTCTGCTCAGACATCCTGAGATCTGGGCCCTTTCATGACCTACTTTCATCAGACACCACAGGGAAGAGGTACAGGGCACTGCCCATCAGTTGAAAACTTCCTCAGTGTCTGTGGCTGGACATGAAAGCCCCCAGTCTGGCTCGTGGGAACCAATCAGCTGTTTCGCAGGAACCAGTCTGGCTCCCGAGAACCAGTCTGGCTCGATTTGTAGATGGTAAGAGGGAGGCCTTCTAGGAAAGTGCAGAGTTTGAAAGGTGGTGGAAGTCATCTGGCCCTTCAACTCGATGTCCCCCAGGTAGTCCTCTCTGAGCTACTGTAAATTCATTCAGGATCTAGGCCCCTTCCCGTTTCCCCAAAGGCATGCATCTTGCCTTCTCCGATTATAAGGGCTGGAGGGCAAGGGCCAAGTTTTCCTTCCCTAGTGGTGTCCCAGACTGTGATGTGCATACAGCAGACACCCAGCAAATGCCCAGCATAAGGGTGGGTACCAAGCTTTCCTACCATGGATTCTCGACCCTTCCAGAATGAGAAAATACTGTCCAACATATTTTTTCAGTCACGTACCTACCTATTCTACCAATTAATTCTACCCAATTTCCATACGACCTCATTTCCCCTTCAAATGCTCAGCATTAGAAGTGCCCATAAAGGTAGCTAATACAACTTCTCTGTCGAAGTGATACTCACAAAATCCTTTTCCAGAATCATTTTTGTACACTTTGCTTCAAACTATCAGTGACTTTCTTATGCCCAGAACCTGGATCTTCATTTGACAATCAAAGTGGATTATCCTAAGGCCAGGGGTGGGCAAACTTTTTGACTCCAGGGCCACAATGGGTTCTTAAACTGGACCAGAGGGCCGGAACAAAAGCTTGGATGGAGTGTTTGTGTGAACTAATATAAATTCAAAGTAAACATCATTACATAAAAGGGTATGGTCTTTTTTTTTTTTTTTTTTTTTAGTTTTATTCATTTCAAATGGGCCGGATCCAGCCCGCGGGCTGTAGTTTGCCCATGGCTGTTCTAGGTTGAATAGAGGCCCATTAAAGATGTTATAAATAAGCTCACTTTCCTAGTAGGCAGGGCAATGCTATAAAGCAGTGGTTCTCAACCTTCCTAATGCCACGACCCTTTAATACAGTTCCTCATGTTGTGGTGACCCCCAACCATAAAATTATTTTCGTTGCTACTTCATAACTGTAATTTTGCTATTGTTATGAATCGTCATGTAAATATCTGATATGCAGGATGTGTTTTCCGATGGTCGCGACCCACAGATTAAGAATGAGTAGCTCCTATGTACTTCTCATCGCTGTTTAGTTTGACCATAAAATTTTTCATTGCTACTTCATAACTGTAATTTTGCTACTGTTATGAATCGTCATGTAAATATCTGATATGCTATATGTGTTTTCCGATGGTCGCGACCCACAGATTGAGAATGAGTTGCTCCTATATGCTGCTTTTTCCTGATTCAGTCTTAAAAGGTTATATATGTTTTCATAAATGTATCCATTCCTTCTAGGTTGTCCAATATGT